GTTATCTGTAAACGTTCCCTAAATCTACTAATTTAGGGATAATCCACTGACATCCTTTAATACACATGTTAATTTGAATCAGATGTACTGATAATATCCGCAATATAAATCTTTAAACTTCTTCTTACCTTTAAAAGTCCGTCACGAACGGTCTATTATGCTGCAACTCTACAGCTCTGCTAGCCTTGGCGCTAACTTCCGGGGAACGATTGAGAGGCTCCACGATCCGCTATTGCTGTAAAAAAGTGGTCCATTGGAGTGAGATGTCGTAACTCTTCTATTATATGGCTCTGGTCGGTGGTATGGGCGTTGGAGCTATGTGCAACTCAAGGCATATGCTCGAACCGGAGCTGCCTGGACGCTGCAATCATGTTGCGCACTATCCGTGCTGAGTGTGCTGACTTTTCGTACAATGTCCCACTGTCTGGCTTCCTGCATAAAGTCAAGTGCTCGGCGCAGTTGTGGCGAAATGTCGCTCCTCTGTTTTCATTTAAACAGCTCCTTATATCCGTTAGCGCAGCTAGCTAGCACCAGATGCTAACAACAACAATGCACGTAAGGTCTCTCTCTCGCTCGCTCGGGCCACACATACACACACCCTCCCGGTCCTCCAGATGGCCAGTCGGTGCCTGCCGGTGAGCATGGAAGTGTGGTCTGCCACAAGCGGGCGGCAGGAGCGGGGCTGTCAGCATCAGCTTGTAGATGGTATTTTAAACTCGATGCGCTCTGAAACTACGGGGCGGCCAAGGAAAAAAAATACACATGCGTTAATCGCGTTAAAATAATTAGTGGCGTAAAACATTTTTTATTATCGGTATCGGTCTTGAGAAGCAGGAAGTTATCGGTATCGGTGTCGGTTTCAAAAACCCAATATCGTGCATCCCTACTTTTTACATTATGGCTGAGATGATGCCGTAAAACGCACCGAGTGCTAACATTTAATCCTCCAGTATGAGATTGACACACGCGCCAACATCTGCGTATGCATGTAAGCTTTAAATACAGCCTCAGCTGAGAGGGTTCACTCTTTGTCACTTCCAACGTCTAATTCTCTTTAAACTGAAAATTAACTGCAGCGATAATGACGATGACAACAAGAGCAATAGGCAAGTGTTGAAAGGATGTCGGGGAGCAGAGCGGAGGGCCTGTATCATTAGGGATTAACCTAGCCACAGGCTCTACAAATAGACTGTCTCCACCTATAAGCTGCCAGCGCACAGACAGTTATTTGTACTGCCAGGTAGCTGCTGCAGCTCCGCAGAACAGAGAAGACAGTTCAAAGAGGCTGAGGCGGATCGGGACTCCCACCAAACAGAATGCGATGCAACAGGACACATTTAGGGGCTGGTAACATCAGAGGCATTCACAAACAGCTTTCATCTAAGGTGACTGCATACAGATCGATGCACCAATTTGGGGTATAATCTATAATACAAAGCCTAGGCCAACCATGAACAAACGTGAAGCAAAAAGTAATGTTTCAAGGACGAATACTACAAATGTTTAGCCTCTCAGTTGCAAATATGTGCTGCTTTTTTTTGTTGACTGAATATATTTGGAATTTTAAAAATGAGTCAGATAAAATAAGCGATTTGAAGACGCCACTTTTGGTTTCAGGTATTTTTCATTTTTTACCAAAGGACTATGTTTTTGGAATATCTTGATTAATTGATAAGTTTGCCATTAACCAACACTCTGAAGGATGAACATTTCTTTGACTGAAATCAAACAAATAAAGCGGTCACATGCTAGGCCAAACCATCAGATGAATCAATTTATTATATTTTTCACCTAAAAAATCTAATTCTCAGGAGAGGATCCTCCGTACTCACCCACAGAGGTCTAGGCATCATTGAATGAAACAAAATGTATTTGAGAAGATGGCAAACGTCAGAGGGTTTGTTCATGCATGTACCTGTTGCAAACGAGTACAAAATAAAGACGAAATAAAAAACACTTATTGTTCGGTTGTGTTAAAAGTATCATTGGTTTCCTGTGAACTGTCTGAGCCATGTCCCCTGCTTTGTCACACCTTAAAGTGTGCGGACTGTGCTTTGAAAATGCAAGATGCCCTGCACCATAAATACTTAAAAACATCATTAAATGTGCTCATAGTCAGGGGAGAGCATCAAGGAGTCACTGCTGGTTTGTGGGATAATACCATGGATGTATAATAAGAACTGGATACAGTGTGGGAGGCGGGGCCTTGTTCATTCCTATGAGAGTTGCTCATTGGCGCATGAAGACAAAATGGCCCAACTTTTGAGAGAGCGAAACGTCACGAAAGTATTCATATAATCATATAATCCGTTCTTATTGTGCATCCATGGGTAAAGGTAAAACTCATGTAGTACGGAACACGTCACATGAACGTGCCGGGCGGCGCGGTCCTGTGGGTTAGATCGGTTATATCCATGGATGTAGATGCGCGTTCATAATGCAGAGGAAAATAACTCTCAGAATAACGTTATTAGCACATTTTACAACTTGAGGACCGAATGTTTTTAATAAGGGCTATACAATGTTCATACTGGGTAGTTTATTATTTAGTTTAAAAAAAATTATCCAACGATTTACAGACGTATCTTTCCCCATGTTAGTCAATGAGAAAAAGTATTTCCGGGCCCAGCGACTGATACGGAAGTGTAGTACTGCCGTTTGGCCACAACGAATATTTTCCTCAGAGTCCGGCGCACTTTTTGGGGGCTTGGATAATACTAGCACATTATTTGAGAACCTGGACGATAAAATTATACTACTAGTACTAATGACACAAAAAATTACCCAGAGTACTTTTGGTTTAAAACTAATGACACCAAAATAAGTGGCCATCACCTCTCACCTGCTCCAAGTAAACAAAGCGAATTTAACACATGTGGGAATTTATGATCGATATTCACAAGCTTGTAATATTCTCTTAGAAATTAGACACCATTGAAGATAATACTATATGGTAAGTGCACAGGGTTGAAGTCTCTGAGCATTTTGGTTTTGTAAAAACAAATGTAACAGAAAAGGTTTAGCTGCTTCCCATATTTGACAGTTTCATATTATTCTTTCCTCAAGAGTTATGTCGGGTTTGAAATATTTCTACCTACAACCAAGACAAATATATTTTCAGAAGGGGGATTTTGACAGGAATTTTGTAAGTAACTGACTCTTGTTATAAAACTTAAAGACAGCAAGAAAGAGCCAAATCAATCAGCATTGAATCACAACTGAAGGGAACCTCACTTGTTTTTAAACAAAGACTTCAGACCAGCTGTTGATGTTATCCTCGTCTACAGTGGTTGTATACAGTTGGGTGAATTAAAACATCTGCATCTATAAAAGCTTCCTCAGTAGTTCATCAATACTGCATCACAGTGCTAGGTTAAAATTCATGGAGGATGAAAGTGTCCGGCCTTAAGCAAGGCACCAATTCTTCTGATCATTCTAAAGAGCATAACCACAAAAACCCCTCCATCCTCAGAGCTGAAATCATCATGAAATAACTTTGGCAATGAAATAGCTGTTTAAAATCCCCACGTTTATTTTGGGTTTTGTCAGACAAAATAGATTTAGATTTGTGGGCATATCACTTTTATCTGACATAAAGATATTGAACATTTGTGTCTGTTGTCAGCAGCCCCAAGTGTTCATTTTACATTAAGAAAATGAAAAAGCAAGCAAATGTAGAAGTTTAAGAAGCCTTCTACATAGAGAATATCACTTAGTTAAATCAACGAAAGCCTTTAGTAGGACCACATCTGGCTGTTCAAAGCAGGCGAGGCTTCATTACAGTGTGCAGACGAACAGCAGCTGGCACAAAGGAGCACGTATAGATCCACAGAGCCAGGCAGTGGAAACACAGCGGGGGAAAGTCTAAAAATAGCTCAAGACTGTGATCAATAACTGCTAGATATGTTCCAACTCTGCTTCATAAGGCTAAATTTAAACAGTGTTAAAGTGTTGCTACAGAGACAACATAATCATGTTAAAGGCAGGGTGCATCAGTGATGAATATTCAGTGGTGCAAAGTTATTCAATACAAGTTTATACAACATGACAAGTATTGCATTTTAATATAATTGAGGTACTTGTACTGTACTCCGGTATTTCAATTCTATGCAAGTTTATATTATTGCTTCATAACATTCTGGAAGAAAATATTGTAGTTTTTACACCACTGCTTATTCACTACCATGTATTCACTTAATTTGAAACATAATACAAGTATTTTAACACAAGCAAGGGGCTGAGGTATATATGTGTAATTATTTAGCTTGTATCCAAATATTTGCACCAATTTATTGTTTTATCTTTTTCTCGAGAGGATAAACAAATATTGACTTTTACCAAATATTTGTACCATTTTATTGTTTTAGCTTTTTTCCCACAGTAAGGTTTTCCAATAATGTATTTCTATTTGACTTATTATTGTTGAAAAATAAATAAAACACTGTTTAAAGAGGACAAAGAGTAAGAGAGTAAAAGTAAAGGGCTTCTCTCCCCCCTGAGTGTACTCTGTATAACGGTGCGTGGAGGGCACCGTTATACAGAGTTAATTGTATCAACAGGTAAAGTGCAGACCAGGTGACGTTACTGCAGCTGCAGACAGTCTACCTCTGTCTTTATAAACTTTATAACCATGCACATCCCAAGTAAGCAGTATCCGTCCATGTGTGCATGCTTTAAAACACCAAGCCGCTGTCACATTCAAACACAGTCTGCACATTATCAGCGGGACAAAATACTCTGCAGCTCAAGACTTTCCCTCTCAAATATATATAACCCAAACACCGGACAGAGGCGGGGATGCTGCCCGGAGGTGAGTGCCTGTCTCCGGGGTTAAAGAGCACACAGAGGATGTTTTAAAGTGAAAGCCGCTCAGCCAGCCGCTGCTCACAAAACGGTTCTCAGCAGCGAGAGTCAATATCAACATAAACATGCTCGTCGATACAAGAAAGTTGCTCCTGCATTTGAGCGGTAAGAAATACAATATGACAACATTTCATTACCTTAATGCTAAAAATGACTGTCGGGCGTTAGGACTTGACAACCAAGCGCTTAGTAACCGAGTAAAATTACAACGATTTCAGGCTGCGCCTTACCTTCAGTTCCGCACTCTCCGCCATCTTGTATTTTCTTTGCGCATGCGTGGTTAGCTGCTGTCACATGACTGGGACGCGCTGAGCCTCTGCGTGAACGCGCACACAGAGACAGGGGTGCGTTCAGGTACTCATAAAATGGGTGGGAAAAACAGCGGCAGAATCTTAGCTTTAAATTATCTTAATTGTTTATTTTGGCTTCTTAAGTCTTAGTATATAAATTGTTTAGCGTAATCAGATATAATAATGTTTTAAAGTGTTCTTTTAATACATTTTAACTCATTGGCCATTGGCCAATACATATTTATTTGTCATATTTATTTATTATTACAATAAACCACAGAGTATTTCATTTAAATGCAGTTTTTAGCTCATTTATTATGTTCTACATGTGTATAGTTTACTTCTTACTTTTACTCATTTACCTGCACTATTTTATATCAATACTATTTCTTTTTGCACTATTTGTATTGTTGTATGTCTTATATATATTTATGTTGCACTGTTGGAGGAGCCTGCGATTTAAAATGTTCCTTGCCATAACTATGCACTGTAGCTACTGCGCATATGACAATAAAACCTTTGAATCTTTGAACACTGACCTGAGGGCCAGGAGATCCTGCTGCTCTGTGGGTTACATCATTCTTTGATCAAAACAATTTGAATATATTCGTTCATCCAGCCTGTAGTTTAGCTACTGGCACTCTGAATTCATTATTATCTTGAAGAATAGAATAAGTCTAACACATGCAATAGATCAACTCTTTTTTTGTATTCTAATAGAAAAATCATATATATACATAACGTACATAAATAAAGCATTTGCCTTGGGCTTGTTTTTAAAAATGTACTCAATTGTGCTGCTCGAAGCCACAGAACATTTAAAAAACAATGAAAACATTTGAAGACGTTTCACAGCAATTTACCTTTCAATTTTCAGTGGAACTACTGTAGAAGTAGTCCATATGAAAAATCCAGAGTGACATTATGTCTTACAAGTAGGCGTATATGCCTATAATCTGAACAAATAATTTAATAAATAGCATATTTTCTTCAGTCTCCACAAACAAAATCCCACCCACCTCCATTGGGTTGAGCTGAAAACATGGACAAATATACCCAAAGCTATCTGATTAGCTGAACCCTTTCAAATATTAGTTTTCTCGTTTGTAATGGTTAACTGCCCCTTAAATAGACCTGTCACTCTACATTCCTTTGTCTTTCTTATATACAAAATGTGAACTACCCTGTTTCACCAGAAAAGCTACATTTCAAAGTCTTTTAGACATAATCCTCCTGTTACACTAGAGCAGTGGTTCTCAAACTTTTTCTGTCAGGCCCCCCCTTTGGAGAAAAAAAAAAGTCGGGCCCCCCCAACACAAATAGTCAGGCTCCGTGGCGGCGCCAGAGATTTATTTTGGAGGTGCTGTGGGGTAGCTTGACGTTTCATAGAGGGTGCTCAAACATTTAGGGTTTCCCATTAATGTACCTGTCGATACAGTGGAATTTTCTACTGCAACAATCCCCACGCACATACACAGTGTACCCACAACTGTTACAATGAAGGCTCGATAATCAGCTCACGGCATATAGGTGTAAGCAGGGGTAAAGTGCTATTTTTATAGGTGGTGTGTGGACCTCCAATCCACCAATCTTCCCGGGGGCAAGCTCCCCCGGGAAGATTTTTAAATATTGAAGTTAAAAGCATCAATCTGGTGCACTTTGAGAGCAAAATGAAGAGATCTATGGATACATCTCTCAACACCCATATGAAACAGAACTGTAAACAGATTTACTTTTTCTTTATGGATATTTTACAAATCACCCTTTTAAACTGTATTCTTGTTTTACTGTCATATAGTATTTCATACCTGTTTTTAATTTATTCTCTTGTTTTTTTATAACTATAATGATCATATAAATGTGTGCCTCGGAAATAATTGTTTACATTAATGGTGACCAAAACGTTTGAGACCCACTGAGATAACACTGAGAGTCCTTTAGCTCACTGAGTCTCTCAGTCTGACAGGAGAGGACTCTCCTCCACTTTGTTGTTGAAAAAACTCCTTATATCCGTTAGCGTAGCTCGCTAGCACCAGAAGCTAACAAGAATAATCTCCGGTACCGGTGCGCTCTCTCTCGCTCGCGCACACACACAAAATGGCTCGTTCCACACACACACAGAGCCAAGCTTTAATGAAACACAGAGACCCAGACGTAATAGTACTGTACTGCATCATATTATTTTCAATCAATACTTTTTCAAAATAAGTTTTTTTTTTTTTTTTTAAATCTTTTTTTTTTTTTAAATAACCATTTTTCCCCCTGGTCTCTTGCACCCCCCCTGTCATGCCCCTGCGCCCCCCTGGGGGGGAGCGCCCCCCACTTTGAGAACCACTGCACTAGAGCATTTCAATCACAGGGAAGTAATGGCAAGTTTGACAATCATTATTTTCTTAACACAGACATCACAATGATATAAAGGCAATAGATATATTATTTATGAAAAAACTACATTTTGAATCCTGTATATCAGTGCATCTTTAGATTTTATATAGATATCCCAATAATGTCCAATACTCATTTCGGCCAAAATAAGAGTGTAAGGAAAATCTGATATTGTGGCAACTCTTAACTTAAGGTACGTTTCATTTCAAATGTAAAACATTTTAATAACTACATGCAAAAGAAGAGATGCATCTAATGTTGGACCTGCAGCCATTTTTAACCGTTGTGAGGAAATATTCTGATGTTGGGCCATTTTTTTAGGCAGTTAAAATATATATTCACATCACTGTCTGACAGATTACTGTGAATCTCCACATGCACAATCATACTGTTCCTTTAGTCTTGCCAGGGGTGTGCCGAGTATAACTAATATGGTGCCTGTCAGGTTAGCAACAAAAACAAAAAAATGAGTTTTCTGAAAAATATCTAAATTGTGTAGAAGAATGACAAAGAGCTTCAAACTCCAGATTCAGGAGTCACTAAACCCGCTGAAGTGACTCTGACCTTTGACCCTCCTGTAGATCAATGTCATGTCATTTAATATTAGCTGACTCTGCTGTACTGTTAGCTTTTTGTGTATTTGTATTATTGTGTATAGTTTAATCATTCAAATGTATAAGGTGTTTAATCTGAGTGAGTAAGTCTATAATACTTAATTGTGACTCAGATTTCTAATTAGACTAACAAGCCCAACCTTGCCTTTATTATTTGTATTTTTACATCCTTGTCATAAATAAGTAAGCCGTAAAGCAAACAGGGGCCCTGCAGAATTATTTGTATTATTTGACAATCTTTTGTCAAACCACAATTAATGATTCAATATTTCCTCTAGAGTCTCTAGAAAATAATGAATAATTGAACCTTTAAATAAATACACAACATAAATTGTTGGAAGAAAATGTAAAGGCATTGTTTGTATGTTGTTGGGCAAGGCGAGGCAAGGCAAGTTTATTTATATAGCACCTTTCAACACAAGGCAATTCAAAGTGCTTTACAAAAATGAAAGACATTAAGAAAATGGCATTTAAAAACAGTCATTAAAAAGCAAAGATAATAAAATAAACATTAAAAGAAAAATACATGAATAAAAGTTACAGTGCAGTTTAAGATATGAAGAGTTCAATTAAAAGCAGCGACAAAAAGAAAGTCTTCAGCCTGGATTTAAAAGTAATAAGAGTTGCAGCGGACCTGCAGGTTTCTGGGAGTTTGTTCCAGATATTTGGAGCATAATAACTGAACACTGCTTTAGCATGTTTAGTTCTGACTCTGGGGACAGAAAGCTGACCAGTCCCTGAAGACCTGAGAGATCTGGATGGTTCATCATTTAGCAGGAGGTAAGAAACTTATGTTGGGCCTAAACCCAACTGCAAAGACACCATTAGAGTCTAGTTGAGTCTACTGAAGATAAAGGCATGGACAAGTTTTCCAAATCCTGCGGGAGAGTTGTGGTGAGATGTGTCTCCAGAACTTACTTTTCTAAAATGATGACGAGACAATTGTCATATAGGCTAGGCAAGGCAAGGGGATAGGGGATTTAATTTAACAGCAATGCCTTCTCTATCACCTTTTAGTACAGTCAGAAAAAAAGGCTAAGAAAAAACAACACAGTGGCTCAATAAGCTCAGAGCAAGGGAAAGCCAGTAGATGGCGCCCTCTCATTTCAAATAAAGATGAAACTACAATGACGTGAAGTGAGCTCTCAGGTCCTGCTCAGTGTGTTATCAGCCTGCGAAGCATATTTATTCCTAAGCATTGACATCTTTACTTAGTGTTTTTATACAGAATTCGCCATCACATCAAACACATTAGGCTTCAGGCCCAAATCTATTATCAGATATTGCTTATTTCCTCTGGTATACAAAATATAATCTTTTGACAAACTAGTTACTAATCACAGAGGTTTTATTATTTCAGCATGCATCGCTGCCATCTGTTGCTTTGTTGCTGGCCAGTGATGGGACAGGTGTCCGCTCAGTTCACATGTTTATATAAGCAAATCTGATGATGAGTGCACAATGCAAATACTGAGACACAATATGACCAGCAGCAGGATAAAACATAATTCTTCTTTTAAAATGTTTGATATCACAGTGAATGGATTTAATGTGTGCTTGTGTAAATGCACTCACTGTGCTGTATCAGGACAGCTCAAATCCACAATGTGTAAACAAAAGCAGAGTTGAAGGATATGGATAAAATACTAAATTGCAGCCCTGTTTGTGTAATTTGTATTGCGATATAAAAATATGTGTCATGATATAGAAAATTAATTCAGAAATTCTTCATGGATATAATATACAAAAATATTAATTGTTTTTATAAATTGATAATCCCAGTAGTGAACTATTTTTCTCAGATTAAATGCACTTGTTCTTTTTCATATTCTGTATGTATTTATAAAACAACATTTGATATATTGAAAGAAAAATTCATAGTACATTTTATTTTACTGCTAAAGTTACAAGCCTCTTCTCAGATTATGGTTCTACGTTTAAAAATACGACCAGT